TCCAAGTCCAAATCCAGAAATTCCAAAACCAGATGAAAGCTAAGAAACAGGGCTAAATTTCATCAGAAGGCCTCAACAACCAATTCGGAAGAAATTCCAGCCAAAACAACCAATTACAGGCGCAATTCTTACATTCGGGTAAAACCAGAACAGCAATAGTAATTTCGACTTTTCTCATTCTACACTACTCCAATTGACCTGAAATTTTGTAGGCACCTCTAAAATGTCATTACCTACAACTTTCATGTTTTAAGCCAAGGCCAATTAGGCCTCTATATATGAGCTATAAATTCGGGCAGAATGCACAATCACAAACCCTAACTTTCCAAAATTTCTTCCAAAACAGAAATTGTTTGCAATTATCCACTTTTTCCACCTTCTAGAATCATTATATACCATTTCCATTCATCATAGATAGCCACACAATCATGCTCATATTAAAACAGAAAAATCCCCAAAAATTATAAAACTTCACCAATTCAACCAAAATCAAGATATAATCCATAAAAGTGCATCTTATACCACCACCAATCATGAATTGAACATCATTAGAGGAAGGAGAGTGGTTCTTCACAACTCACCTTAGCCATACAAGAGATAGAGCAACAAAACACCTTAGCTTTCCAAACAACTCCACAAAACACCTCAAGACCACTTAGCAAAGAGATTTTATGGAATGATTTGGAGTTTTATTGGTTGGATTTGAAGATTGAGCAAGAAATAGAAGGAAGAAATTGAGAGCTTTTCTTTCTTTCTTGAGCAAGAACATTCGGCCAAGAAGCTTGCAAAATGAAGCTTATTTTGATCAATTTTTTTTGTATTTATTTGGTAAAGGTAAAGGTAAAGTCAAATGGTCAAAGTCCAAGATTAAATTAGATGGTGACACTTGTCACCTTTAGGTTTAAAACTTATCTTTTTGTCTCTCCAATACAAATATCTTAACACCTTGTAAAATAATATCACTTAATACAAAATTCCAACAAGTTCGTCCAAAATATAATGCATTTACCGCACTTGCGGGTCCCACGTTCAAAATACGCTCTTAATTTCTCAAAAACTAACCGATACTAGAAAAATCATTTTAAAACTATCTTTGCTCATAAACTTTATCTGGAAAATTTTTCTAATAAAGAAAATGTAGAAAAGGCGGGCGATTAAATAAAATAAACCCTTGAAAATTAGAAAATTTTCGGGTTCTCACACTCATACTTTTCGGGGCATCACATTGATAATACGTATCTTTTTTTTCATGAGTGACCTAAAAATTTTTTTATATACTTTCATTATCTATTCGTAATCTAAAAATTCATTCAACTTTTTTTTTCCCGTATCACTATGTTGTAAACTTTAGATGCATTATTTATTAAATAGGTGATAAGAGGACAAGTATTATAATTTTCTTATGGGAGGGAGGGTTGCATTGAGAGGTAAAGTGAGAGAAGTTGTAAACCCAAGACCTCCCACTTACAAATATATATATATATATATATATATATATATATATATATAATTTTCTCGTGAATTTACTAAGATCTTGGAATTGGTAGTACTATCCATTGACTAATATATCATACTTTCGAAGATAAAACATGCAAACCTCTCTCTCTCTCTCTCTTTTTAGTGTTAAAGAAGCTTGTATAACTAATTTCCACGATTATACATCCTCATTAGTAACTTGTATGTTGTGCCATACATTTAATTTACCAAAATGCTAAAGTGCCATTACCAAAAAGTTGAAATTTTAATTCATCAGCTGTTTTAAAAATATCAAGTTATTTGCAAAAAAAAATTTGTTTACATCATAAATACGTTTTATAATCGGATTTATTTTTACAACATTTTTTATGGGTTATTATCACTTTACCCTCTTCAACTATATCACTACTATCAATTTATCCCATAATGTTATCTTTTAGTCACTTCATCCATAGGTAATTCAACTCAGAATGTTCATAAATTTTTGATAAAAATACACTTTTATTTTATAGTATTACTACATTGTTATTATCACTTTATCCCTTTAAATTATAGTGATATAATCACTTTACTCTCTTCTAGATTTTTACCCTATTGTTAATCTAAAAAGTATGTTAAAAAATGTTTAAATATATTTACCTTTTTTATATATAATTAAAAATAAAAATGTTGGAATAATTATTCTTCCTTTTTTTCACTCTAAGATTCCAAAAACATAAAAATAAAAGGGTTTTCTCAAATTTCTTTTTTCACACTTATTAATACTTGGAAAAGAAAAGGAGATAGGATAGAAGAAGATAGAAAATTAGATTTTGCAAAGAAAGAAAATAAGAAAAATCTAATATTATCGTATTACTTTAATATTCTCGGGATTAGGATTGGAATTGGGTAATAAATAGAAAAGTAAAGTAATTTTAAAATAATAAAAATATTGAATTCTTTCTTGTTTGTATTTAAAAAAAAAAGAATTGAGTTCTCTCTCTCCCTCCTCTATTTTTCAATTTTTTTTCAATATTAATAAGATTTTCAAGAAGAAAGAGATCGATGTTCTGACCTTTTTTTTCTTCATACTAAAAAGGTGAAGAGCCACTCTAAATTTTTTATTGTTTTTATTATACAAAAAAGAGGGTACTATCTTATCAAGTTTTTTAACTTATTAAGTTAGTTTAATGGTGTGATAAATTGCCTAAAAAATAATTTTAAAGGGTAAATTGATAATAAGGTTATAGTTTATGGGGATAAAGTGATAATAATTTGAAAGATTGAACATGTCTTATCACTTGAATTAATAAAACTTCTTTAAGTTTGACCGTTAATCTTCGGGGTAAAATGATTGAAAAATAATGTTAAGAGGAAAATTGATAGCGACACCAAATGTTAAGGGGGTAAAATGATAATAATCATTTTTTATCTCTTATATATTTAAGCATATTAATGGATAGAGTCTGAATTGGATCCTTTTGATCTATATTCAGACCTATTAAATTTATTTATATTCGGACCTAGACCCAAATTCAAATCCTCATGGGTCTAAAAATGAATATAGATCCGAACCCTTATGAATTTGGGCATTCAATGGCTATGCGTGAGTATTTTTTATGAATATTGTAAAGAATTAAAGTAAAAATATCTTAAAAGAGTTTAGAATATATCACAATCATCCTAATTTGGAACTTTTTTAGGCACCCAAGGACTTATTACCAACTAAACTTAAGTTTGTTTGGATAGTGTATTATTTGAAATATTATTTGGAATAATTAATGCAGCACTTTTTGTGATATGATGTATATGAGATAAAAAGGTGATTGGAAATATAAAAAGGTAGGTTGGAAAATGTGTTTGTGATGCAAGCGAAATATTATTTGGAATAATTTTGGTATCCAAACACTCCCATTATGTTTTTGTATTTACACAATATTCACATTTGCTACTATTTTTTTTTTTTATGTTTAAAGTAATATATCCAACTCTTACCATTTTACCTTTTTCACTCTTTCTTTATTTGTTTAGAAGCAATTTTTTGTCCATTACACTTACCTTTGTTTAATTCTTTTTTTCTTTTGTTTCACTGTAATGTAGCCAACTGAGAATTGAGTGACAGGCATATTAATAAAATTACAAAATTATATGTTTTCATACACTAAATTTCATCTATGCATTTAGGATTTGCAAGATTTTTACATACTTTTGAATTGTCAATATTTTTTGGTTGGTTGTGACTATTTATGCAGTAGAATAATTCACTGATGTAATTGTTCAATTGAAAAACTTCATGTATTAAACATAAAATTGTGTAAATGCATCAACTATCTTTTTTTTATTATTTTTATGTAATCATTGATAGTTGAGATAGCTGTCACATTTTAAAAAAAAAAATTCTAAAAGATTATCACTATCAACATGCTACTTTAAAAATAGGGATAATTTCAGAAACCTCTCCTGAGATTTTATAATTTCACTTGGTTCTCTTAAGGTTTCAAAAATTACACCTACTTCCCTTACCTATTTAAAATAATAATACTAACCTTAATATTTTAATAAAACTCCCTTGTTGCCATGTTTATACAAAGGATGGGTTTTATAATTTTTTCCTTTTTCTTCTTAGTCATTTGTTTAATATTTCATTAGAATTATAGAAGAACTATCAATGTTATCCCTACTATCTATCTAGATCAAATGTTAAACGAGTAATTTTTTTTGATAACTTTTAATATCATCCCATTTTTAGTAGCTTTTTCTTTTGTATCAAAATCAAGAATAATTAAAAACAAATGGCCCAAAATCACTACCATAAAAAGAATCTATATCCCTAATAAAGTATTATAAACAATAGCCTATTATATCAAAAGATTTATTGTTATAGTTGATTATCAATTAACAAATTTTGGCATGAAAAACTTGAGACTCATTTTCTTTTATAATTATGCCAAATTACTTTACAATTGTTTAGAAGAATAAATTAAACTTTGTAAGATAAGGGCATTTTAGGGTATTCATTAAATTTTTGACCCTATTTTAAGGTTTGGTTACCCAAGTGTCAAATTAAAGGAAGTAAGTATAATTTTTAAAACTTCAAGGAAACTAAGTGAAATAGTTAAAAATCTCCGAGGAGGTTTTTGAACTTATCCCTTAAAAATATTAAAAGTCTTACAAAACTAAGCGATGGACCAAGTAACACGTAATTGGTGAAGAGGGGCAGGAACGGTTGCTTCCTGACAGTTCACGGCCAATATTTGACCAAAAAAAATTTGTACGATTCAGATCTTATCTTGTGTCTCGTTTTTAACAACATGTGTGGGATTCACAAAATTTTATTCTAGAATTATATATTGTTGAAAGTAAGTTACACCATGTACAGACAAATTTATGTCGTGTGCAAAATGCACGTAACCTACCTTCAGGAACGATTGCTCCTGTAGCCATTCCTGTCCCTGGTCCCGTAATTGGCCCCAACTCCCAACACAATACATGTAAATGTTGGTTACAATTACAGTTTTGACCCAGCAGTGAATTATACGCATTGTAGTGAATAAAAAATGCGTATATGAATATAAAATACGTATATTCAACGAATATAATGTTGCTCCCAACTCTTCTGATGCACAGTCCACTGCTATAGTGAATATGATCTGAAACCGTCAAAATCTACAAAGAAATGGTGGCTCAAAGAGAGAGCTTCACCTAATTACCTCACTTGAAATCAGGTAAACTTTGACTTGTTATTACTTTTGAGAATAAGATTTAGAAAAAGCTGTTTCAGTACATGGTTTTGTTTTGTTTTGTAGTTTTTACAGTCTCTGTTTCTTAAATTCCATCAGTTCTTCACACTTCCTTCTACCTGTTTGAAGAATTGATGCATTTGCTTTCGAATTGTATTGGGAATTTGATTATTTGGGTGAAATTGTTCAAGGGATTTGATAATTTATTCAAGCAGGGCTCATATGCATAGTTAGTAATTGTTATTTCAGTTAGTTGCAGAATTTTTTTTTCCTCTTCTTGATGGAAAGTTATGGTCTTGATTAGGAGGTTTTAGCAAGTCAGAAGTATAATCAGCTTTCTAGGTGAGATCCTGTATGGAATTACATATGTAGTGTTTGCCTTGGGATAAGAAGGTCTATAGTCCCATAGAGAACATTCTTTGGCTTTTTTAAATTATATGTTCGTGATATGATATCATTACATCCAGACTTAGTTGTAACTACTTTATTAGTTTGAGATAACTTGGAGTTTTGTGGCGTAATTGGAGGTTATACAATTTAGTCAATGTTTAACGATTTCCAATAAAGCTTGGGAACTGTGAATTTAGTCAAGATCTGGTTTTACGCATTTTTAATGTTGGACATTTTTTATCTTTTGTGTTTCTTTAAAGTTCTGATAGCTCAAGAGAGTGCTTGTAGAGTTAGATATCTCTTCACCGACAGCACCGACAGCGTAAATGGAGTAAATAATGCAGTAGTATCACTTTAATTTGCATTGAGCAAAGGTATCATGAAGGATCATATGGCTTGTTAGCAGGCTTCAATCAGATAAAGGAATTACATACCGTAGTTAAAGATTTTCACTCTGGAAAACTTTAATCAAATTAGACCAGTGATTGCAATTTAGTCAAGGTTTAAAGATTATCAATATAGCTTCTGAACTGTGAAATTAGTCAAAATCTGGTTTTAGGCTTTTTAATGTTAGGCTTTTTTTTTCTCTTTGCCGTTTCTTTAAAGATTCAATAGCTCAGGAAGGTGCTTGTAGAGTTAGGTATCTCTTTGCCGACAGCATATAATATTTAGTTGTGTGGGTAGGTGGGGAGTCTTTTTTTTTTTTTCCCTCAGGCTTGGGTTGGCATTAAATGGAGTATAAAATGCAGTAGCATCACTTTAATTTGCATTGAGCAAAGGTGTCGTGGAGGAAAGTATGATTTGTTTAATGGACATCAGTTAGATAAAGGATGTAACATAGTTAGAATTTCATTTGGGAAAATTTTAATCTAATCAAACCTGTAATTGCATTTCTATCAATGTGGAAATCCTGTCCAGTCCATTCATGTTCTCTAAAATTAGGTCTCTCAATTATTTAGGTGTAACTGCAACACCAAAAGTTCTTCCTTATCTAGTTTAGTTCTGTGCGTGCTATTTCCTTCATTTAAGATGAATCACTTTTACATTTCACCATCAGAGATCAATCAGAGTAGTTGCTTGTTCATAAAAGCAACAATAAATGAACAGAGTGAAAACTCTGCCTTTTAGGTCATAATACCTTCATAAAGGCAAATTATTGTTGTCATACTATGTTTTTAAGCAGTTCATGATAGAGATTGAACGTGATGCATAATTGAGGTTTCCATTTGTTTGGATCATTATGTTAGAGATTGTTGTTAAATCAGGTTTAAGGTAAACATTGAATGCAGAGTTCCCTAACAGACCATTTGAATTAATTTTAATCATATTAGTGTGTAATCAACATAATATTCCGCTCCTCATTTATACCTTTGGAGAACTAATATCTGTTGAAAATTGAATTGGAATCTCATTGAACTGAAAAGGTGCTTAGAGTACAGTTTCAGGCAGTTAAGTTTGTTCTTAAGATGGGAAGGCTTTGTATTCTTGATAAGAGATACGATCTAACTGAGTCACTTTAATATCAACAAGTCAAACTGCAGCGAAGCTTTGAGAGTTGCAGGGTCAGTCATATATTAGCAACATTAAGGATTGCACTAAAGAAATTTGTGGAAAGAGTTTGATTGAATTTAGCTTAAAAATAGGTGTTTGATGAGCAAGACAAGTTAAGACGAATGAGAATGCCCCATTGACGTGTAAAATTTACTATTACATTTACAAAAGCATGTTAATCAACTCTATTTGTTGGGGCATCATTCAAGTAATTCCTTTTAGAGCTTGTTTATTTCTGTTTAAGATGAAATAATATGAACATAACTGACAAGATTGTCAAAAAGTTAAATATATGTAAAAGATGATGGCTTTCAGAATATAAGAGGAACAATGTGCTCCAAAAACCTTGAAATGATAAATGAATTTTTAGTCTGATAGAATAAAAGACAACCTGAGCCAAATTGACATGTCTGGTTAAAAAATACATGCTCTTTAAAGTGACTTCTGCTACTTGTTCTTAGCTGATATCAATGTGAGTGTGACCGAAACTTTAGAACTCAGAATTCACAACTGATAAATGAGACTTCTGGACTTAGGAAGCAGATTGGATTAAGAGGATTCCCATGGGCTGTCTTAGGTTTAAGTTGGTGTTGCATTTAGTAAGACTGGAAACTTCTAAGTAAGAAGTGCATACAATCTGATAGTGCAGACTGATGAATTGGTTGTGGACAGCGTCCTGGAGATAGGGAATAGCTTTAGAAAAAATAATGCATGAAAGATGTTAGGGAACCTGAATATACCTAATAAAGTTTAGATCTTGGTATAGAGGGTATGCAAAAGTATTTTGGAGACTATCTTTATATTTTGGCAAATGGGAGTTGCATATTGCTGCATCTATCCACTGTGCTTTGCTATGTAAGAAGATTTGAGCTAAATGCAGTTATGTCAGGTGTCGGTCAGTACTGCAGGCACGGTTCTTTAGTTTATTTGAGCCATTCTGTCATGAGTTTTGATCAGAATAGGTACAAATTGCTTGCTGGAAGTCATCCTGAATCCGTTTTAGGTGGAAATAAAATTAATGGCTGTGTTTTGCTGGTCTTTGTGTTAACACATAAAGTGAGACATTCTTTAATCACTCTAAGAAGGAAAGTTTGAGTTTGCTGCCATTCGGCAGAAAGTATCGCAAAGAATTTCAGATGCCAACTGAAAGATCCTTTCCAGCTCTTACCCTAATTGGATAAAGGAAAGCTGCCTTATTTAAACAGTGACAGGGAAATTAATGGAAATTGAAGCTCAGAGATTGCTCAATAACTGATGCACAAAGTAAAATCCAACACAAGGCATACCCAATAATGTATTGTGAAACAAATTGCAGACGCTATGGAAGTTGCCAAGCTAGACCATACTAAGAAAATTGTGCCATAAGGAATTTTAAAACTTTCTCGAAGAAGAATAATTAGAAGTAAACAAGGATGGAGAAACCTATGCTTTATCTATAAGCAGTCAATATCCTTCAAGCTCTCCTGAACAGGTGACAGAGAAAGCTAGAATTTATACATAAACAAGGACTTATTTTTTCAGCATAAGTTTAAAAATTTGTATCTAATGGCCAGTAAATGCTCCTTTTCAGAGTTACAGAACTTTATTTTTTTGGCAGTGGAAAAATAATAAGGCAATAACAACTCTAAAGGTTTTATAGAGGCTGAGCGGAGAAGTTAGACAGGATGCTGGAAATTCTGTGGGTAGATGCATAGAACTGTGTTGTTGCTTGGGAAGAGGGAGATGGAGGGTTGGATAAACGATTTTTATTAGCTTGGACACATAAGAGATGGTATCTGGTTGCTCAGAGATGTCATCAGCCAAACCCAAGACGTTAATGCATACTCTTGGTGAAAAAGTTTGATTAGTCAGGACATATATGTACAATAGTTTCTGTTTGCTAATAAATGACTGCCTAAGATGCAGATGAATTTTCACAAGTTAAAAAGAATGGTTTTGGTGGCTCTGCTATAAATAGTACACATGAAAAGTGTTTGGTAAGACATTTTGACTGCTTAATTTTATGGGTTTAGAATTAAGGGCTGTTGGCATCGAAATATCCTTAGAAGTTTGCTTGTAAATAATTAAGAGGTCCTTAATAGTAAATAAAATTAGAAAAAAGACCAGTTACAGCACAATACGTCATATGTGAACTTGATTTATATCACATGATACTGTGGTAAGCTCCGAAAGCTCCATATGATTAATGCTGTACTTGTCCCTGAATGAAGAAAGACATTCACTGTAAACTTGCAGAGAACTTAGGGAACCTAATACTGAAAGGACAACAGTAACTCCTAGAACCATGTTATAAACTACCATTAGCAGTTTTGCTGTGAGGCTAGGACCATACTTGACCTGCCAAGTAACCACCCATCTCCAAATCATGTGAAAATATCAGCTCTTTAGAATTTAAAAAGTACCCCTGAATAAGTTTTAATAGATGCATTTTGTACCTGATTAATCGTACTTCCTTAAATGTGTCTTTATGCTGTCTTACACCCTTTCTCCTCAGAATATTATACATTTGTATAGGCAGCAGCAGTAGTGTTGGAGCAAGTTTCAGAGTAGAAGAGGTTGGTTATGCTAAATCATAGTTTTGCTTCTTGTTAATAATAGAATAGGTTGAGTTCATCTACTTTAGTTGTAGGTCCTGTGTAGAAAATAATATTTTGCTATCTTATATTGTGTGGTGTACGAATCACTAAACATGAGGCAATTTGCTGGAAACTCAAAAGAATCTGAAAACTTGGAAAAGCTGCACCAAGATGTCAATACTAAACACATCAGGCAATTTGCTGGAAGCATCCAGCCAAATTGATTGTTGGCAAGTTTTACTGCAAAAGTTCACTATACTGAAAAATATTATGATAGAACTCCAGTGCCATAGATTATAGGCAATGGTTAAACTGATGAAGCTGGGAAAATGGTACTCTTTAAGGTTTGGGAAGCTTCTCCAGCTGTTCATTTTGGCTGGAAAGCACATGCAATACTTCCTCACAAGTACAGATATTACTTTGAGATAACAGACTATTGGAGTGCTTGTGATATATCTAGTTTTGCTTGATGAAATATTAATTGAAATCTGCATTGGATTATAAAAAGTTGTGCTTCACAAAAAATCAAATTGTTTAAAATGTGTCAGTTCTATAGGCATCAGACCACTTTCCATTTCTTATGACATGATTTGAATTTTTTTTTTTTTTGGAAAAATTGTTTTAAGGATATGTGTTGCTGTTTTTTTCTAGATTTTAATTATTCTGATTTGGTTTTGCTGGTTTTAGAAATATGGCAACTCCAGTTGAGCCTCCAAATGGGGTTAGATCCCTGGGGAAGCATTACTTTTCCATGTGGCAATCTCTGTTTGAGATTGATATGAAATATGTACCTATAAAGCCTATTGGTCGAGGTGCGTATGGCATTGTATGTTCTTCTATTAATAAGGAAACTAGTGAGAAGGTTGCAATCAAGAAAATTCACAATGTCTTTGAAAATCGTATTGATGCACTGAGAACCTTGCGTGAACTGAAGCTTCTACGCCATCTTAGACATGAAAATGTGATTGTCTTGAAAGATGTGATGATGCCTATCCATAGAAGAAGTTTTAAGGATGTCTACTTGGTATATGAACTCATGGATACTGATTTGCATCAGATTATCAAGTCCTCTCAAACTCTTACAAATGACCATTGCCAATATTTCCTCTTCCAGGTAAATTGTTGGTTATCTATGTGGTCTCAGCTGTGTATTTGAATGATGAACTTCTATAGATTATCCAGTCTAATCTTTATTATGCTTTAAAGCTTATCATTGTCTGAATTGTTTGTGAATCTTGAGAACATTTGAAGTTTTTTTTGGAAAGTTATATTTGGATTGTGCATTATATATTTAAACCTTGCCTATTTGGCATTGCTTGCTTGGATTGGAATTCCATTTTTTCCGTACCTAAATTTCATTGTGGTGACAAACTTTTAGCCTTATTCTTATTTTTGTTCTGGATCACTTGACCCCTATATACCAGAAATGTTTTTCTTTCCATCAAACAAGGTCCTGAAATGCTTAAAGTGCTGCAGAATGTCCTTTATTCTTTAATTTGATGATACCCTCTGTGGACTTCATTATCTGCTGCAAGTTTGGCAAAACAATAAACGGTCTTAATTCTTACAAGAATGATTATTTGGGGATTGTGTAACAGCTCCAAACATTAGATAAACGCTTGCTGTTAGTACTTTGGAAACTTAATTGTGGATTTCTTCTTCAGACTCAAACTTCTACCTGATCTCAGTAACTTCTGGTTGATGCTTTCCGCTTGTTGCTAGCCTAACGTTAAGTGAACGACTTCCAAAATACCGAACTGCAAGCTATGCTCATGAGTCCCCTCATGTTTCAGCACAAGGCAAGGCCTTTACAAAGATTCTTAAGGGTGTAGTACACTTACTCTAGCTGTCAGGTCCAGGGAAAAATGATGCTATTGCTAATTAGCGTTAGAAATTGCATTTCATACTTAAGGTCAAACATATTCTTGCATAATGCCAAACGTTGAATGCACATATTAACAGAGTGTATGAGAGCGATCCCTGCATGTTTGGACATTAGATTATCTTTCATGTTCCAGTAGAATACATTTGAACCTAATATTGATGTTCTTGTTCTTGGAATGCGATGACAAATATTGGTTAAGGTGTTACTGATTATGTTAATATTAGCTATTGTCTAAGGCCCATTTATTGGAATTGTAATGGATACAGTTGCTGCGAGGCCTGAAGTATCTCCACTCTGCGAACATTCTTCATCGTGACCTGAAGCCTGGAAACTTACTTGTGAATGCAAACTGTGATCTCAAAATTTGTGATTTTGGTCTTGCACGTACAAACAATGATAAGGGCCAGTTCATGACAGAGTATGTGGTTACTCGGTGGTACCGAGCGCCAGAGCTCCTTCTCTGCTGTGACAACTATGGGACCTCAATTGATGTCTGGTCTGTTGGTTGCATCTTTGCTGAGCTTCTTGGGAGGAAACCTATTTTTCCGGGCACAGAGTGCCTCGATCAACTTAGGTTGATCATTAACATCCTTGGGAGCCAGAAGGAAGATGACATTGAGTTTATTGATAACCCAAAGGCTAGGAAATACATCCGTACACTTCCATATTCTCCAGGGACACCTTTTTCTCGCCTTTATCCTCATGCTAATCCTTTGGCCATCGATCTGCTGCAGAAGATGCTTGTATTTGATCCAACAAAAAGGATTAGTGTAACAGAAGCTCTTCAACACCCCTACATGGCTCCCCTGTACGACCCAAGTTGTGATCCTCCAGCTCAGGTCCCAATCAATCTCGACATAGATGAAGATTTAGGGGAGGAGATGATAAGGGAAATGATGTGGACAGAAATACTTCATTACCACCCTGAAGCCGCTTTAGCTGATCTGGAGGTTGGTAATTGAATTTGATCTTCCTTTCTAGCGAACTAGTTTTGGAATTGGCTTTGTTTGTAATTTTAGAGCCACTTTCTTTCATTTCTTTGTCTTTGTTTACAAAATAATCATAACAAATTGCATCTGCAGTTTGAGCTGTGATGCTTGGTGTGCTTAAACAGATCTGATGAGGTGATTTTTGACCTTGGACTTCTGAAAAAGCGCATCAATGTTGTATATAGATGTTTGTTGTGATAGGCCTTGGTGCTATGCCATTAAATGTTCTGGCTGTAAACTTATTATGGATAAAAGTTAATCCAACTGCTACAAGTTGGTTTGTAATGTATTTTGAAATGAAATTAACTTCCTTGAGAAGCATGTGGCTTTGCTTATATGCCTTGAAGAGCTGACCTATCGAACACATTAAAAGGTAATGCATACGCGTTCTTGTCATGTAGTTTGTGGCACTTTTTGATCTTGTTGCCTGTAGATATGATGCTCATGAAGACTGCAGTATACTATTCTGGAATGGGCGGAATCTCTCGTGTCAGTAGGGATATACTGGTTTGAAGACAGGAAAAATTCACTAGGCTGAAAAAGTTAATGCAAAATGATTTGCATGTGTTGACAATTAGGAAAATGGGGAACTTCACTGAGTTGCAAAAACTTTCCAACACTTAAATATCTTCTAATTTGAAAACCTACTTGCTTAACTCCCAACCTTAAAGCTCTTATCCGTTTTATGAGGGGAAAAAGAAAAAGCTCTTATCCTTCTCTCCTTTTTAGAGGCTAGGCATATAAGCGTCCCCTATTGTTTACACGCTCACCCAGCCATCTAAAATCTTTTGGTACATGGGACATGCATTCAATTTCGTTAGTGCAAAAAAAAAAAAAAAAAAACCTTACCTTGACGATATAGGAAAGCTTGTACGAAATGGTATCAAAACGATTAGAATATGTTGAAATTCAATAAAACTAATAAGAATTGCATTGGAAACAAAGTTTGATGGTAAAATTAGCATTGCTTTCTTTTTGTTTGGGTTGTGTGTGACAGGTTTATAATTCTTTGGATTCTAAAATTTCAGAATTGTTTTCTATATGTGATTGTAAAATTCTCAAGAATTTAAAATCCCTCAATTGTTGGGCCTTTTAACCTCCCTTACACGTTTTTCGAAAAACTTCATGGTAACTCTTATATATTCTAAAAAAGAGGAGTTCCAATTGAGTATGCAAAATTTCAGAATTGTTTCTAAAGACTGAAATCTTGTGGTTCCCCAATTCAGTGAAAAGAAACGAAAGCTATAAAATATTAGTAGAAGTTGAGTGCTTATAAGTTCAATAGAAACGACAAAAATGTTCAATGCATTTGAAGCAATTTCCATGGTCAAAGTATTTGGCAAATGGATTTTGCAGAAAGAGAGATATATCCTACCTGTTGCGGCTAGTCATTGTAAGTTTGGAGACATGTCAAAAATCAATAGAAGCATAATCGAAGGTGCAAAGTGTTATTGATTTACATCGACTCCTGTGTTTACTGTTTAGAGAAATACTGATGTCGACTCTAGAGAAATACTAGTTTATATATATATATATATATAAAGAGTCAGGAAAATAAATAATAATAAAGAGGAGGAAAGCTCTGATACCAGACAGGACGAGGGGTTAGCCCTTTAAACCAGAAAAATAAATAATAATAAAGAGGAGGAAAGCATAAGAGTTAGAAAGTGGGTCGTAGTCGGACTGCCACTAGTTAGTATAGATGGTTGAACCAGTCATGTATAAACAGAATGTAAATAAAATATAAAAACAAGTTAGTATGTTAGTTCAGGCGGTATAACCGGCCATGTATGATTAGTATAATCAAAACAAGTAAAAGAAGAATAAATAAATGGTGTATCCACAGGGGCTATGGTAATCTAAATCTCCAATCGGATTCGTTGGTCGTAGTTGGGATTCTGAAGCGGCGGTTCCAGTGTCCATGGCGGATCCGTCGAGAGGCCAGACAAATTTGGCAGCTAGTGGATGATTCGGCTCAAATCTCGCATTGTTACAGGGAGGCTAACACCGTGGCGGATGTTTTGTCCAAAATAGGCGTCTCTCATCCTGAACAGCATATTAAGGTCTATGACAATTTCCACGCTCTTCCGGCATTGGCTCGTGGGGGGGTCAGATTAGATAGGTTAGGGGTGCCTTCATTTCGGAGAAGTAAGCGTTTGTAAGCAGAACTTGTGATTGGTTTGCTTTCTTGATGAATAAAATCATATTTCCTTAAAAAAAAAAATGGATATAAGGCGGCTTAGCCGACCATTTGATTGAGTGATATTGAATATAGGAAATAAAAGAGAACTTACAAGATATGAAGCCCGCATAGGGCTTGCTCCTTGTTTGTTCCTAAAAACTAAAATATAAAACTAAGAACTTGTTTGTAGAGAGAGGGAGGAGAGTTTCTTCAAGCTAGAGAGAGAAAGAGACTTGAAGAAATGGTGTGTGGAATGTGTTGGGTTTGAGGGGTATTTATAGCAAAAATTTTCGTAGTGCTACAGTACCCGCTACAGTGATTTTTTACTGTTGCTACAATGCGCGCTACAGTGCATCGTTTGTCTTTTGTTGCCGTGTTTGTACAGTATTTTGCCGGATGCTACAGTACTTCCGGTGCTACAGTAAAAAAATTTTTTCTGACTTTTCTTCCAATTGAGCTAGCTTGAATGTTTTTAGAAGCATTTGTTCAGTAAATCATTGCTGATAATTCTTCCGATGCTTCTTTGATCCATTCCTTGTAATGATGTGTATTGGCTCCTCGTTTCTCAAGTAAATACTTATTGAGAGCCATTCTTTGTATATACCTTCTTTGTATGAAGCATTGTTCCTTCAAAGTTTGTACGGAATAGTTTGATTCTTTTACTCCGATGTGATTGTATCTGTGTATACGGTAGATAGGAATTCTTTCACCGGTGTCTTGGTTAAAGAATATACTACCAAAGTTTCTGATCCTGGACTCTTTGTGCTCGTTTTCCAGGTAGTGATATTCTGTCCAGAGTTGTGAGAATTTATCATCTTTGAGTTTGATCTGGAAGGATTGAGTAGTAGGATCTTCAGGAATTAAAAATGAATTTTCATCCTTTTTTGTTTCCTGAATCCAGTTTATTGTTGAAAGCTCGTCAATTGTATGGAATTGATTTGAAATTGTTTCATTGGACATCCAATTTGAAGTAGATTCCGTAGGTATCAAGTTTGAGGATGATTCCTCAGGGATCCACTCCCAATCGGCTTGATTTTGATTTGCTGATGTTTGACACTCATTAGTTTGATTGCTAGATATTTCTCCGTGGGAAGTTTGTTCCCAAGTAGAATATCCACCGAAGAGACAGTTTTTCTCTTTTGAATTGTATGATGATGAACTTCCTTCACTTGCCATGTTTCTGCACAAAGAATTAGTTAGTTTAAAAAGTTGGGATGTTATCCCTTTATAGATAATTTAGAAAGGAGCCAATTGATTGAAAAATGATGCTCCTAAGATGATATGGTTAGTCAAATACTCAGTCAAAAAGAAGGTATATGAGAATTGGTTTTGTATATTTGGAAATTTGAATTCAATATCAAGTTTAGGATTATTAGTTATTCTAAGGGATTCCAAAAGTTGGATTGGAATAAGGTTTTCAGGAATATAGTTTTGGTTTGACCCTGTATCAACTAGGGCTTTTGTTTCGATTACATGATTATCAATAATTAGTAATCGAATTTGGATCAAGTCTTCCTGAAATAACTGAGAATTGTTATTCAGGTTTCTAGGGTTAAAGGTTTCTTTTTGTAAGGTCATAGGTTGAATAAGGCAGCTGTCAAGAATTTCCTGGAAACCATACGTTTTTGGTTTACAAGGATTTTGTCTAGGGATTTTTTCTGGAATGTCAAAGAAAAGACCCTTTAAAGGATCCGAAATTTGGTTTAAGTATGGTTGTCTTGTTTTAAGAATATCTTCAATGATGCTGAAAAGAAGGTTCCGATTTTTGGTCATCTCATTGACCATATGTGTGACAGCCCCACCTCCCCCTAAGGCGAACCAGAGGGTTCGGCGGACTGCCTGCCCATCTCTCGCCGGGACTTAGTCGAGCCTCAATCAAATCCGAAATAAAACCACAAGATCAAACGAAATAACAATCCAAAACTTAAAGCGAAACTTATATACATTTCTATCTCAAAAGGAAGTACAAACATCGAATATACAAAGGTTCTCAATTCGTCATACATCCAACCCGTGCCAAGCACTAGGGCGAGAACCATTACAAAACAAAAAAAAACTAAACTAGGCTAACCTACACTGGGCTCTCGTCCTTGCTCGCATCCCCCTGTTAAGGAAAACAAAACTAAAGGGGTGAGCTAAAAGCTCAGTGAGGTTCCGAACACATATTCAACAACAAAGCCAATACATTAACCATCGATAATCAATAATTCAAGAAACATTTACAATGGAAAGCGATAATAACACATACATTAAAAGGATACGGGCTCACAGGGAGCCATTTGTTCGCTCGTTCGTTCGTTCGTTCGTTCGTTCTCCTGTCATTCCCCTTATTCCTCCAATCATTTGAAAATGCATTTTTGTAAGTAAAACCCTCGTTCGATCATTCATTTCATTCACCCCCTCCTGGACGTTGGCTAGGCTCCACCAACCTACAAGGTAATACTCGAGTATACCAACATTCACACCCAAGGTCACCATATCGCTCGACCGAGTCCGCTTCTGGATCGAGTCGATCGGTAACGAAGGGCAGGGCCCAATTCAGCCAAAAGGCTTACATCATGCACAACTAATGTATCAATCATTAAATCGTTGAAAATTTCACGTTCCATTTAGGTCAAGCGCGATAAAGTACACGCTCGCCTAGAAAATTCGTTTTGGAAATCATTGGAAACACTTAACACATTATCAAACAATAACAACAAGTCATGAAGTCATGGAGAATATAACAAACAAGGAACACTCACCTATGTACGCAAAACAACGTGCAAAATATTCTTCCGGATATTATCCTAAGTCACCGAGAAAATCTAAAATTAAACGAGAAAGAATATTACAGCTCATCTAGCACAAACAATTAGGTGAAATCAAAGAAACTCAACAATGAGTAGAACGTATAAAAAGACTTTAAAGTGAAACGAGGACATTTGGACCCGTGGACAAGAATAATTAGGGTTTCGTAGACCAAACGTAAAACCAAACTAAAGACAAGTCGGAATCCAACTAGATAGGCTAAGAAATACTGTTTTCGGAATCGTTTATATGGTTCAAAATCATCTCATATTCAAGTAGATATTATACACTAAAGGCCTTAATGAAATTCATGAAAAAAAAGAGGTCAAAATACCCAAGAAAATCCTAAATCACTCCTCTTTA